TTAAAATAGATATTCTCCAAAATTTTTTAAAGTACCCGTGCAGAAATTTTGACCGGGGCCATGGCACTTTGCCCGATCTGGCCGCCCTGTCGGGACCCGGTCGGGGCCATGGGATTTCCCCCGATCTTTTCGCTACCCAGGTAGAATTCCAATACTGACTGCATTTTATTATATTAAAGCTTGTTATTTGATTATTAAAGAATGGGGAGTATTTACTTCAATATTAATGATTATTATTAATATTTTTGTAGTAAATAAACTTTTATGAGTGTCATTAAAAATGTAAATAGTTATTAGAATTGCTTTTATTGGACTAAGTTTTTAAAAAAAATATTTTTCTTATTTTCTTTCATTAATTTAGACAGACTATCTTATTTAAATTAATAATTATTTATAATTATTATTATTGTTAATAATTATTTAAACCTATACTTTATGTAACATTATTAAGAATTATACACAAAACACTTAAAACTAAGACGGAAAAATATCGCACGCACGGGGGACCGAACCCTAGACCTCGAGGACGCAAGTCGAATACACATACCGCATAGCCACGCAAGCTTGGAAGCGACCTCGCTTAAACTTCCTTTTGAATCATGGGACCGTTATATACAGTGTTATCATAATAAATTGACTGTATCATATTTATTTATAGAAAAATTATTAAAAATGTATGTTATATATATATATATATATATATATATATATATATATATATATATATATATATATATATATATATATATATATATATAAATTAATATGTTTATCATAATAATATGGTAAAAATTGTTAATTTAATTATTTATTCTATATTATTTATAATTTAACTATTTTTTAAAATAATAAAAATTTTTTCATTATTAATAATTCACAATAATACTAAAAATTATTAATTAATAATAATTTATTTTTTTGCCTTAAACATGGAATTTCAATTTAAGTGTGAAAAACAATTAAGAGTTTTTAAGAGTTATAAATGTCAAAAATAATATGTTAATATTATAACCACAAAAAAATTTAACATTTTAGGCAATATTTTTGGTTATCACCATGATAACATCGACAAATGGTTCACCTTCGACAATTGGTGCGTTTGTCCTATTGTTTTAAATTAAAGGAGAATAAATTCTTAAGACATCCCTCGAGGACAATTTTTGAGTTTTTAATTGTTTATAATTTTTATTTTCAAATTTCAATCAAAGTTAACAAATTAACACAATTTTTTAAAAACGGACGTTTATTTTCTTATTCCGTTACTGCACATGCTCTAAATCAGTTCAAATTAATCCAATATTACCAGCAGACAATTAAAAACCCATAAAGTAATATATTTCAATTGTCATAAACAACATTAATTAACAAATAGTTAACTTATGATCCTGTCCAACAGAAAATTTTTGTTGCAAATTTTCTTTTTTACTTAGGTTCTTTTAAAGAATATATGTCTTTTTTGCTTATAATATAACTTATTTAAATATTTAATATTATATATCCGTGGTCTTTTAACATTATCTAAATAAAAAAGTAAACGTGAAAAAAAAATTTTTGGTGGAAAGGAACAAAAATTAACTATTTGTTAATTAATATTATTTGTAACCATTTAAATAAGTTATTTTTTAAACAAAAAGGACACATATTTTTAAAATGAACTTAAATTAAAAAGTAGACGTGAAAAAAAATTTTTTTGGTGGACAGGAGCATAAGTTACATAACTATTTGTTATTTAATATATTGTTTATAACAATTTAAATAAGTTATTTTTTAATCAAAAAGGACAAATATTCTTTAAATAGACTTAAATTAAAAAGAAAATGTGAAAAAAAAATTTTTAGTGGAATAGGAATCAATGTTAACTATTTGTTAATTAATATTGTTTATAACAATTTAAATAAGTTATTTTATAATCAAAAAGGGCAAATATTCTTTAAATGAACTTAAATTAAAAAGAAAAGGTAAAAAAAACATTTTTTAGTGGAAAGAAATCAAAGTTAACTATTTGTTAATTAATATTGTTTATAACAATTGATATAAATTACTTTCTGTTTTATTAATTATATGGTGGTCATATTGTATTAATTTGAACTGATTCAGATCATATGCAGCAACGGAATAAGAAAATAAGCCTCCTTTTTTGAAAAATTGTATTAATTTGTTAACTTTGATTGAAAATAAAAATTATAAACAATTAAGAACTAAAAAATTGACCTTAAGGGATGTCTTAAGAATTTATTCGCCTTTAATTTAAAATAAAGAATACTGAAACCGGTTAAGAATTGTAGGCTGTAGACAGTTTTGAACAGTAAATTGTAAAAAAAATCCCATTGTGCGCTGTTTGTAGATCCTTGGGCAAACCCGGTCTGGTCCTGGTCGGGGCCACGAAGTCGGGGCCAGATCATGAAATCCCGACCGGGGCCAGGGCGGTAATCGGGAACAAAAGTGGCGATTTCTGCACGGGTACTGATTTGTATATACATATACCCGTGCAGAAATTTTGACCGGGGCCATGGCACTTTGCCCGATCTGGCCGCCCTGTCGGGACCCGGTCGGGGCCATGGGATTTCCCCCGATCTTTTCGCTACCCAGGTAGAATTCCAATACTGACTGCATTTTATTATATTAAAGCTTGTTATTTGATTATTAAAGAATGGGGAGTATTTACTTCAATATTAATGATTATTATTAATATTTTTGTAGTAAATAAACTTTTATGAGTGTCATTAAAAATGTAAATAGTTATTAGAATTGCTTTTATTGGACTAAGTTTTTAAAAAAAATATTTTTCTTATTTTCTTTCATTAATTTAGACAGACTATCTTATTTAAATTAATAATTATTTATAATTATTATTATTGTTAATAATTATTTAAACCTATACTTTATGTAACATTATTAAGAATTATACACAAAACACTTAAAACTAAGACGGAAAAATATCGCACGCACGGGGGACCGAACCCTAGACCTCGAGGACGCAAGTCGAATACACATACCGCATAGCCACGCAAGCTTGGAACCGACCTCGCTTAAACTTCCTTTTGAATCATGGGACCGTTATATACAGTGTTATCATAATAAATTGACTGTATCATATTTATTTATAGAAAAATTATTAAAAATGTATGTTATATATATATATATATATATATATATATAAATTAATATGTTTATCATAATAATATGGTAAAAATTGTTAATTTAATTATTTATTCTATATTATTTATAATTTAACTATTTTTTAAAATAATAAAAATTTTTTCATTATTAATAATTCACAATAATACTAAAAATTATTAATTAATAATAATTTATTTTTTTGCCTTAAACATGGAATTTCAATTTAAGTGTGAAAAACAATTAAGAGTTTTTAAGAGTTATAAATGTCAAAAATAATATGTTAATATTATAACCACAAAAAAATTTAACATTTTAGGCAATATTTTTGGTTATCACCATGATAACATCGACAAATGGTTCACCTTCGACAATTGGTGCGTTTGTCCTATTGTTTTAAATTAAAGGAGAATAAATTCTTAAGACATCCCTCGAGGACAATTTTTGAGTTTTTAATTGTTTATAATTTTTATTTTCAAATTTCAATCAAAGTTAACAAATTAACACAATTTTTTAAAAACGGACGTTTATTTTCTTATTCCGTTACTGCACATGCTCTAAATCAGTTCAAATTAATCCAATATTACCAGCAGACAATTAAAAACCCATAAAGTAATATATTTCAATTGTCATAAACAACATTAATTAACAAATAGTTAACTTATGATCCTGTCCAACAGAAAATTTTTGTTGCAAATTTTCTTTTTTACTTAGGTTCTTTTAAAGAATATATGTCTTTTTTGCTTATAATATAACTTATTTAAATATTTAATATTATATATCCGTGGTCTTTTAACATTATCTAAATAAAAAAGTAAACGTGAAAAAAAAATTTTTGGTGGAAAGGAACAAAAATTAACTATTTGTTAATTAATATTATTTGTAACCATTTAAATAAGTTATTTTTTAAACAAAAAGGACACATATTTTTAAAATGAACTTAAATTAAAAAGTAGACGTGAAAAAAAATTTTTTTGGTGGACAGGAGCATAAGTTACATAACTATTTGTTATTTAATATATTGTTTATAACAATTTAAATAAGTTATTTTTTAATCAAAAAGGACAAATATTCTTTAAATAGACTTAAATTAAAAAGAAAATGTGAAAAAAAAATTTTTAGTGGAATAGGAATCAATGTTAACTATTTGTTAATTAATATTGTTTATAACAATTTAAATAAGTTATTTTATAATCAAAAAGGGCAAATATTCTTTAAATGAACTTAAATTAAAAAGAAAAGGTAAAAAAAACATTTTTTAGTGGAAAGAAATCAAAGTTAACTATTTGTTAATTAATATTGTTTATAACAATTGATATAAATTACTTTCTGTTTTATTAATTATATGGTGGTCATATTGTATTAATTTGAACTGATTCAGATCATATGCAGCAACGGAATAAGAAAATAAGCCTCCTTTTTTGAAAAATTGTATTAATTTGTTAACTTTGATTGAAAATAAAAATTATAAACAATTAAGAACTAAAAAATTGACCTTAAGGGATGTCTTAAGAATTTATTCGCCTTTAATTTAAAATAAAGAATACTGAAACCGGTTAAGAATTGTAGGCTGTAGACAGTTTTGAACAGTAAATTGTAAAAAAAATCCCATTGTGCGCTGTTTGTAGATCCTTGGGCAAACCCGGTCTGGTCCTGGTCGGGGCCACGAAGTCGGGGCCAGATCATGAAATCCCGACCGGGGCCAGGGCGGTAATCGGGAACAAAAGTGGCGATTTCTGCACGGGTAGTAAAATTTATTTTCTATTTTAAATTATAAATAAACTTTGGGGTAAAAAGAAAAGAAAAGAAGAAAATTTTGGAAAAGTCGTAAAAAAAAGAGCAAGTGGTGTAAAAGTGAATTTTTTTTTTTAAATAAAACTTACCCTCGTTTTTGAGAGCAAGATTTGAATGCGAAAAAGAAGTGGCGCGAAAGAACGAGGATGTCACTGTGACAGTAGCGCGATGAAGAACATTCCTTTTCGCTCGCCTTGAAGTGACTGGAGCCGAAGAGTAAGTTCGATTTCCCTTTCTAGCAGCTTCACAGCTTCTTTACATTCTACTCCAACCCAAGTCCCTCGAGCGTGGCTTTCACTTCATGCCACTTCATGTTCGCGGCTCAAAGAATTATGTACATGTGCATACACTACCTATATACAGTTATTATTATATTGTGAACGAATATATATATATATATATATATATATATGCTATGACTGCACCTTTGGTGCAGCATTCGCAAACGATAATAAAACTCGAAGCACCGAAAGCGTCTCATGGTGAACGCGGCATTCTTTTCCATCGCGGAAAATCTAAGACCTCGACCGATCGGCGCACTCTTACATTCGAAGGGAATAGCTCCGCAATATTCATCGAAATACCGCAATTCTAAACTTTAAAAAAATTTTTTAAAATCTACCGCAAAAAAAAACTTTTTAGATCGATTTTATAAAATTTGTGTATTTTGTGTTTAGAATTACACGTGGAAATCGATATCTTCTATTTATTATATTTTTACAGTATTATTTCAACTTCGAATTTTGTAACGTTTAATTTTTGTAACCGTTAAAATTTGAATTTCAAATTTTAGCGCGCGCCACTGTTGATTGAGCGCATGCGCGAAAAATTTTCAGGTTAGGAGAGGCTTGACAGAACTGACTGGACACTGGACTTGACGCGATCTGGAACTGAAAGACGTTTGTTATCATTATAGTATCATCTAATTGTAAGTGTTATTATTAAGTAATTTATTTTAATGCTACTTTTTGTCTCTGTAACTATTTAGGTGGAAAAAGACACTATTAAACAACTCATCTTGCCAGGTCAAACTGGAAAATTCGGAACATTCTTTGCACTCATTAAAGAGGTTATTAACGGAAATGAATTACTATCCTGCAATAGTGGAGTAGATGATCAACAAGGAGGTATTCCTGGGATAATTCAATTATACGCTTGTAATAATAATTCCAATACAGACATACAATTATCATCAATGGAGAATTTCAGTGTTGACGAAAGTACAGAAACATCAAAGGAGCCACTGATATTGGAAAATTTCGACAAATCCATTAAAAGATATAAAGAATTTATTCTGACTGAAATTATTAGTTGCAGTTGTGATAATTATACAAAATTGAATATCGAGATGTATAAACAATTTCCAAGGGATTATGATTCATTAATTTTTATAAATGCAATAACAAATTTGGAAAATGACTATTCTAAAGAAACGAATAAGACAAGAAAATTAAATTCTCTTGAAGCTTGGAATAAACAATTTGAGAAATATCTACACCGAGTGGAGATTACAAAAGAAATGATTGAAACAAAAGCACTTCTTCCTTTGAACAGAATGATTTTTCGGAAAGTCGATAAACTCAGGAGGAAATTGTACGATGAGTCTGTTTTCAATATTAAAAATTATTTAAGGACGTGTATAGCTGATAGTAAGAAATATACAAGTGTGAAAAATTTAGTTGAAATGAAATCTATTACTAAAAATTACACTGATCAATTCCATAGACAAATTGAAATTGCAAATCAATTACTGTCAAACAATTTACAAGAAGATTTGAATCGAAGTATAGCTCAATTAACCACCGAATTTCAAGAAATAAACGCAGCAATTGAGAAGGAAAAGCAAAAATTAATAACTAAACACAATCAATTGCAAGCAAAGAGTCAAGACCTAGTAAAAAAATCAGGACTTATACTATTTTTTGGTTTCCTTCAGGTAGCTTGCCTAGTACTAACATTCGTAAACCCACTTTTTGCAGTTGTAGGTGCTACGATAAGTATAGGTGCTAGCATGTATGACTCAAGTGTATTAAATAGCGCAGAATCAAAAATAGTATTTGATTCTGCAAAACGCAATTATGAGACAAGAAATCTAATAAAAACGATGAATAACATGAATCAAAAATATGCAACCAAGACTATAAATTTCGCTAATAATTTCGTCGATGTTGCTATGTCTGTACAGAATACACAAAAGAAACATACGGATAATAAATCAGCACAAGATAAAGTGAATGATGAAATTAAGCTAAATCTGGAAAACATAAATAATTTAAAAAAGTCTAAAGAAGAGATTTACAATAAATTGAAGCCTTTCGTAGAAAAACTTGAAAGAAAATTAAATAATGAGACTATGAAATTACAAAATTCATCAATTATTCATCTTGAATACGGAAGACGGGAAATGGAAGATTTAATAAGGGATCTTAAAGAGAAATTTGATAAAATTACTGAGACATTCAACGTGGAGGAAAAAGCAGTGCCAAAAATAAAAAATGCCATGACTGCAATATTTCGCCTCAATGAACTTATAATAAATATGAAATCAGAAATTTCTAAAACACAATATTCACACAAAATAAATACAGTGCCATACAAAATTACTAATATTCAAGACGAGGAGCTTCAAAATGCAGTTATAGATTTGATATACATTCATTATGCAAACGACATATATGACGAATTCATCAAATGGAAGAACTCATTCGTACAGTACATATTTCCATTCAATAAGGACTTTCCCGATATTTATTTTGAGACTTATGATTATCATTTTGATAATTCTTCCGAAAAGGCGAATATCATAGTAGAAATAATGCCGGAAATACAATCAAATTTGGAAAAAACGAGAGAAGATAAATATTTATTATCATCAGATATCAAATTTGGTTATAATAAAAGTCCACCTTTTTATACCTGGAATAATAGCACATACTTCACCGAAATAAAGCAAATTCTTGAAGGTAAATCTGTAAAACTATTCGCAGACATTAATAGTACAAATATGAGTGCTGTTAAATTCCGAACTATAAGTATTTTGTTTACTTCATCCAATGAGACTTTAAATAACGAACTGAATAACGATTTGTCATCATTTTCTTTCCAACTGATTCACCACGGAGACTCCCATTATAGATGTGATAATGATGTTTATGTATTCAATTCTAGTCACAACAGCTTTGGTCGGAACTTGATCGTGATAGACTATATTCTAAGCCCCTATGCAACATGGACTATTACCCTCAAGAATACCTTATTAGGCATTGGAGATTTTAAAAAATTTACTAAATATGTAGGTGAAGTAAATATGAATTTGGTCGGAGATGGCAAATATTTTGACATACTAAATGATAAAAATTGTTCAGAATATTACTCAGCTCCAAATCCGAATGATCGAGGAAGGTTCTATGATAGGAGGAAGCGCGAGTTAAACCAGATAAGAAAAAAGCGCTTCGATCAGTGGATGTCACAGAAGAAATTAACAAACTCTGCATTTGAGTAGAAATTTAAAATACTCGTAGATTCATTTTCATGCAAATATGCAATAGTATGGAATTTGCATTTTTTACATTACTACCAAATTAATTTAAATTGGATAAAATATATATACTATATAACCGTAAACATTTTAGACACATTTATTGCAAAAGTTTCTAATTATTGATTATAAATTGATTTTTTGACAGTTTTTCAGTTTAAAAAAGTAGTGAACATTAATATTCGTACAATTCCGACGTGACAAAAATAATTTATTTATCATTGCATATTTTTGTAAAATGTTAAAAATTTTTCTTCATGAAGAAATGTTAAATTTCGCCTATTTTGTAGTTTGAGTGAAAACTGTTTAAGCATTTTAGATTTATATTGTCAGATAATAAAAATGTTTTGCCAATGCTTCATATTTAAAAAAAAAACTAAATAAAATAGTAAAAATAATTTTTATTTAAAAGAAAAATAAATATTGTATTCCAACTGACAAATTTCGTATATATTTTAAAACAGTAAAATGTACACCTGCCACAAAAAGTCGTGTTTTCGATTTTAATGACGCCTACGTATGTATTTTAATGTCCTGATTCAGAAAATGAAAGATATAATATGGCCGCTTTTTTTGTTTTCATGGAAAATAATATTATTAGAAAAAACACAAAAATTATAATTCTCCGAATATTCGAAAAACCATCATGTTTAGGGGTCTTACATATTTATTTTTCAAATGTGTCTGAATTCACTAGCATTATTCCACATTAATTTACAATTAATCTATGGTATAGTTATTAATTATTAATTAATAAATGTATAATAAATAAAAAATAAATAATAAATAAAATAATAAAAAAAATACATATTATACATAAATAATTAACATGTGGTATGTACTCAAAAGAGGTTTTCTACAGTTTCCCTTTTTTCTGGCGAGAAAGCCCAATAGACGGGTGGTCCAGGCAAATGCGAGTACTCTTAATTCAAAAGTCGTGCTGTAGGCGCAATGATTAGTAAAAATAGTTAATAAGTTATAGTTTGTAAGTAAAAATTTTTACTGTAACATTTGTAAACAGTACGAATGTATAAAGAAATAAAATAAACATTAATTTTAATTCTCATTTCCTTTAGTTTTCAATGTACATTGATTTATCCTTTATTTCTTATATATTTATTTATATATTATATATATTATTAAGCTCCCCGTGCACAATGGAATTTTTTTACAATTTACTATTAAAAATTGTAAATTGTATTAAATAAATTAATAATATTTGGTATTTTTTATTATATCTAATAGAGGACTATACTGTTTGTGCAAACTTTTAACCTGATCCCAAACATTTCCAAATTGGACCCGGATCACTTGACGTGGAATGCCACGTATATTTAATTATTAAAAATAAGTAATAATTGGGTAATGGAATTTTCAAAAATCAGAAAATTAGACGGCATTTCTCACACTCTAACTCAGTTTCTATTTAATGAATAGTTTTGAACTTTAACTCATTTTACGCGTAACTCCCTTGTAATCACACATATATATATACATGTGTTGTAAGCAAGAGTAAATAAATAAATAAATTATTTGCCTTAAAACTTTGAAATTAACAAGAATTTTAATACAAAACCTTAAATTTTTTTTCTATTTTTCGCAATAATTTATTTTAAGTCATTTAATTCTTGAAAAACTATCAAAAACTTAATATTTATAAATTATTTACTAAACAATTTTACTTAAAAATTTCAAAAATAATTAAGTTTTATACCTAATAAGAGTAGCATATTTATTATTTTCATAATTAATTGAATTTCAAAAGGTTGCAATTTAAAGTTCAATTAAAGTCGAAATCTTCTTTTGTACGTTTTCATTTTAAGTTTTAGAAAATTTTAATTTTTGATGAATTTAATGAAAAATTTTCAAAAACTTGGTTTTTTTAAAATTCGAATAATTTAAATTCTGTTATAGTTTATAAGAAAAAATTTCAAATAAATTAATTTTTAAATGTACATTTAATTTATTAAAAATAATTGATTGAGAGAAAAATTTGAGTTAAAAATTCTAGAAAATAATAGAATTTTGAAGAAGTTACAAATAATATTATTATCTTCAATGCTTTTAAAATATTTCCATACTATACTCTTTGGTTTTGTAATTTTTTAAATCTTTAAATATATAGTTACTATATTAAAAAAAATAATAATTATTATTATTAAATAAAAACACAACGCCGGACCATCGCATTCGCCAAAATGTATAATGACAAAAGTGAGGTTATGTTACATTCTCTTAAATTCTCGGAGAATTTAATTGCTAAAATTAATTTTAGCATGATAATAACAACTAATTGTTAAAATCTTTTTAGTCGCAAATTAATGTAAAACCTTTCAAGATTCTGGCTGATTCTTTTCAAGTTACGATCAATGTTTCAATTGCGAGAAACATTATTGTTTCAAATAAATTATAACTTCTAACTGCCATTTTTAAATACCTTTCTTGCTGATTGCTGGCTCCAACAGTACACGTACAACTATAGTGATTCTACAATTGTGAATTTTCATTTTGAGACAAATGTATGAATCCCCCTTAATACTCGATGCTCATTAGTTTCCCATCCCTGGAGACAGGAATTAGTCGTCTGCTACACACGTTTCCTAATAAATATAACCAACAAAAGTTGACATTGTAAACGTCGTAAACATTTATTCAAGAAGACAGATTTCTTACGCATATTTCCATGCATAGAACAATATTTTTAAAAAAATAATTCAATAACACATCAAAAACATATTATAATGGAAATTGAAAAAGTGAAAAACGAAAGAAAATGTTTGAGAAAACAAAAGCGAGCTCAACATCGACTTGCAAGAGATTTAAATATTTCCTGCTCGGAATCTCCAACTAAGGTAGAAAAATTGTAAAAAAAAATTATTCCAAGTTCAAAAGCTGATAAAAAATTGGTTTAGATATTGAAATAATTTTATGTCACTTGTGTATTTTGAATTTGTTTATTAAAATTACCTAATGATGATGATGATGATGATAATGGCAAACTTTAAAACTATTTTCACAATTTTCCTGAAATTACAATTCAACTGTCTTTTGTTTTTCCGTAAAAAAAAATTTCCGTGAATTAACACCTAACGTTATTTATCAATTTTTGAAAATTTGCTACTTATATAATTATTTTTCGTCCAAAATTCTTTTCCCTTAGTTTCTTTATATTTTTTTATGTAATAAAATTTATTTTATCAACTAATACAATTTTATAAAAATTTTTTTTTACTATTTATATCAATATTTTTTGTCAAAACTTTTTTTTTAAATAAAAATATGAAAATATGTTTTTAGTATCTAGTGATCTGCAATGCTGGATTGGTAACTGGATTGTCCGAGGAAAATTTAAAAATAATTTTAGATCCACTTGTAACGAAATATTCCATAAGAATGCCACCTGGAAAATCCTATTGTTTCATTGAATTTCCAAATGAAGCGGATGCAAAAACAGTGTATGATCAATTGCACGGAAATATGAAAATTTTACAAGAAAAAAATCCCCTCTACTTGACCTTCACGACATCAGGTTTAAAAAAAATTGAATTGAATTATTTACTTGAATTTAAAAAAATCAATTTTCATTCTAATTAATTTGAGGAGAAATTTGAGAAAAACTGAAGTTACCTTTATTAATAATTAATAATAAGTGATAATTAGTGATAAATTCACATATTTTTGAAAGAAGTTATTAAATTAAATAAGTTATTATTAAATTTATAAACTGAATATAAATATAAAACATTTAATAAAAATTGTTAAATTTTATCATTTTATGTAAAATATTATATAAACAATTTTTAAATAACTTTTTGTTAAATCTGTTAAATTATTAAAATTATTAAAGTGTTTAAATTGGACCTCTTGTCACTTAAAATATAAGGAGTAAATTTAGATCACGAAATTCAAACCTTGAACTTGTTTTAAAAATTTATTTCTATTTAAAATTGACTTTGGTGTTAAATTTTAGTTCCTGAAGTGCAAGAAGATTATTCTAAATACGTAATTCCTGGTTTGAGAATAATAGAAAATTTTCTCACAATCGAACAAGAGGAACTTTTACTAAAAAGTATTGACTGGAAAGAAGACGGTAAGGTGAATAATATTTTCAGAAAAAATTTTTTTTTAATAACTTTTTTTATTTCTTTTGCCTAAAAATTTAAAAATATTGGCAGATGATGTTTCATCGGAGCTGAAACACAGAAAGGTGAAGCATTTTGGTTATAAATTTTGTTACGATACAAATTCTGTGAATGTTGATGAACCAATAATTCCAATTCCCGATGACTATCATTTTCTGCAAAGATTATTCGAGGACGCTGGATGCGGTGAACATCAATTTGATCAAATAACCATTAATCGCTATTTACCCGGACAAGGTATAAATACTTTTCGAAGATAACTCTTTCTTTTTTTTATATTTTTAAATTAATTCTAGAATCATAAACATTCAGGTTTGTCTGACCTGTGGTCAAAAAGATTTTATAATTTTATTTTTAAATCATAAACTACAGTTAAATGACTCCAAAAATATTAATCGTTTTTTTTAAATCATATTTAAGGTATTCCTCCGCACATTGACACTCACAGTGTATTCGAAAATACGATTTTGTCTCTATCATTGGGATCGGCGTGCGTAATGGATTTCAAGAGAGGAAAGGAGAAAATATCAATTGTCCTGCCAGGACGTTCTCTATTGGTGATGAGTGAAGAATCACGATACGCGTGGTCGCATGGAATTTGTCCACGACACAATGACACCACGCAAAATGAAAATGGATCGGCAGTTCAGAAACGTGGAATCAGAACGTCATTTACTTTTCGAAAAGTTCGTACTGGAAATTGTCAGTGTCAATATCCGGAATTTTGTAACACGAAAAATAGTCAAGAAACAATCAGTGAACTAAATGCAAATGGCATTGAAAATTTATACGTTCACGAGGTAATTTAATTTTTGTTTAATATTTTCTTCTTCTTGAAAAATTCTAAGTCATAATTAAAAAAATATTCGAAATTCAATTATTTTCATAAAAAGCAAAAGAATTCAATTATTTAAAAAACAATTTATAAAATTCATCCAAAATTCAACTATTTTCACGAATAATAAAATTTCCAGAGGAATTCAATTAATTTAGAATAGCATATTCAAAAAAAAAAATTCGAAAAAATTAATTATTTAACAAAATTTTTATACAATTCTTCACAATAATTCAATTACTTTCACTAATAATAACATTTTTCATGGAAATTCAATTTTTTAAACAAAACTTTTAATAAATTTCTAAGCAAGAATTCAATTATTTTCATAAATAATAAAACTCATCGAAGAATTTCAATTATTTTTAATAATATTTAAAATAAATTAATCGAAAAATTCAATTATTTAAAATAAAATTTTCATAATATTTATTATATTTCAAAACAATTAATTATTTAAAACAATTTTTATAAAATTCTTATGAAGAATTCAATTATTTTCAAAAATAACAAAATTTTCCACAGAAATTCAATTTTTTTTAAACATTTTAATAGAATTTTTTTCATAAATAATAAAATTCTTTTCAGGAATTCAATTATTTTTGAAAATTTTAATAAAATTCTAAGCAACTATTCAATTATTTTCATAAATCATAAAATTCATTGCAGGATTTCAATTATTTTTAATACAATTTTACAAGAATTGCTCAAGAAATGTAATGATTCTAAAAAGATTTAATTTCGATTCCTCGAAAAAATCAATTATTTAAAAAAATGTTTTTTTTAAATTCTTTGTAAGAATTCAATTATTTACAAAAATATTTAAAATTTTTGACAGGAATCCAATTATTTTCAAATATTTTAATAAAATTGTTCGAAAGAAATCAATTATTTTAAACACAATTTTAATTAAATTTTTTTGAAATAATTCAATTATTTTTTTAAGATTTTAATAAAATTCTTCCCAAGAATTCAATTATTTACATAAATAATTTTTCGAAAGAATTCAATTATTAAAGATAAATAACAAAATTATTTCCAAAAATTCAATTATTTTGAAGCATTCTAATGAAATTCTTTGCAATTATTTTCACAAATATAAAGTTTTCCACAAGAATTCAATTATTTTTTAAATTAACAAAAATTTTCACAGAAATTCAATTCTTTTTAAACATTTTAATACAATTTTTCGCAATAATTCAATTATATTTATAAATAATAAAATTCATCTCAGGAATTCAATTATTTTTGAAAATTATAATAAAATTCTTTGCAACTATTCAATTATTTTCAAAAATAATAAAATTCATCGCAGGATTTCAATTATTTTTAATATAATTTGTACAGGAATTGCTAAAAAAAATTCTTAAAATTAAAATTAAAATTCTTAAAAATTTAATTTCAATTCCTCGAAAAGATCAATTATTTAAAAAAATATTTTTTAAAATTTTTTGGAAAAATACAATTATTTACAAAAATATTAAATATTTTCACAGGAATCCCATTGCTTTAAAATATTTTAATAAAATTGTTCGAAAGAAATCAATTATTTTAATTCAATTTCTTTTTCTAAATAATTCAATTATTCTTTTAGATTTTAATAAAATTCTTCCCAAGAATTAAATTATTTACATAAATAATTCTTCGAAAGAATTTAATTATTATTAAAGATAAATAACAAAATTACTCTCGAAAATTCAATTATTTTGAAGCATTTTAATGAAATTCTTTGCAAAATTCAATTATTTTCATAAATAAAAATATTCATCACAAAAATTCAATTATTTTTAAAAGTAATAAATTTCTTCTTAGAAATACAATTATTTTAAAAAATTCTAATAAAATCGTTCGCAAGAATTCAATTATTTTCATAAATAATAAAATGCTTTTTAGGAATTCAATTATTTTCAAAAAAAATTTAATAAAATACCACACAGACATTCAATTATTCTCAAAAATTTTAATAGAATTATTTGTAAAATTTAATTAGTTTTAAAAACTTTTTCGCTAGTCAATGATTTTCAATATCTACTATTTTCATAAAATTTCCAAACAGAATTCAATTATTTAAAAAGTTTTTTATAAAAATCTTCGTAAGAATCCAATTTTTTTCATGAATAATAAAAATTTCTCAGGAATTCAATTATTTAAATTAAAATTTGCATAATATTTGTCGAAAGAAATTAATTATTTAAAAATTTTTATAAAATTCTTCGCTAGAATAAAATTATTTTTGTAAATATTTAAATTCTTTTATAAATAATAAAATTCGTTGCAGGAATTGAATTTATTAGCACTAGGATAAGAAAGAAATAAATATTTTTTTATGAAAATTAGGAAAAAGTCAGGAAAATAAAATATAGAATGTAATTTTTGTCAGTTTTTGCGAAGTTTCTAAAACGAGTTTTTTTGGTCGTCAAGTTTATATTTTTCGATAGCTATTTTTTCACTACTTTTTTTTTTAGTTTGAAAGCTACTTTTTTGAAATTAATTATCGTGTGCGAAGTCTGTACTTATTTCTATTTATTTTTGTTTATTTTTATTTATATTAATTACATTAACCTATTTTTATCTATTTCTAAATACTTTTTTATTTCTATTTTTTTTATTTATTAAAATTAGAAAAATTTAATTTTTTCCAAGGGATTAAGTTTATAAATCAAAAATTCTCTTGTAAATAAAAAGTTAGTTATAAAACTAACTGAAACTAAAACTAGAAATTTTTTTAAAAATGACACTTTCTTTAAAAAAAAAAAAGTCTTTAGAATTTATTTCTCTTTCGCAGGTTTATGAAGAAATTTCGGACCATTTCGATCAGACTAGACATAAACCTTGGCCGAATGTTTCCGCATTTTTGGACACAATAAAAATTGGTGGTCTGCTTTTGGACGTCGGTTGCGGAAATGGAAAATATTTACTTGGACGTCCAGAAATTTACAAAGTAAAATTTAGTATTTTTCCTAAACATAAGGAATTTTAAATACAAAAGAATTTAAAATGAAATAAAATACAAAAGTATTTAAAATTAAATGAAATATCAAAAGTATTTAAAATTAAATTGAATACGAAAAAATTTAAAATTCCTTCGAAAATAATTCATAAACGGACATTTTGCAAGTATATTTAAAATAAATTTTCTTAATTTCTATTTTTGTAGATATAATTTTTTAGTTAATATTACAATTTTCGCATTTTCCAAAATTGTTGAGTATATAATTTTTGTTTCAAATTTCACCGAATTTCGTATTCATATATATTCGAGATTTATAATCTTGATAAATATAATAAATTGGAAATTTTTTTTTTCCAGATGGGTTGCGACAGAAGTTCGGGATTAGTCGAAATTTGCCGAAAACGTGAATTCGAGGTGCAAATTTCAAATTGTCTCTCGCTTCCGTATCGAGACAATTGCTTCGATGCAGCAATAAGCATTGCCGTGATTCATCATCTCTCGACGGAGGAGCGAAGAAAACGGGCAATTTTCGAAATTGTCCGCACCTTAAGGTCGGGGGGTAAATGTTTAATTTACGTATGGGCCAAGGAGCAAGTGAAGGACTCAATGCAATCGACATATTTGAAATTTAATTCATCGAAATTGGAGAATCAGCAGCAGCATCGCGAACGGGAGAAGAAAGAGCTTTTTGGAATTACGCTACCAGTGCATGAGAATCGTACGGAATTCACGTATCGCGACAATTTAGTTCCTTGGAAGAGAAAAGGTGGCGGTACATTTTTACGATTTTATCATGTGTTTGAGAGTGGTGAACTCGAAGCACTTTGTTCCTCACTTCCTGTTAATATCGAAAAGTCCTATTATGATCAAGGCAATTGGTGCATTATTCTCGAGAAACAATGATGATGGTGATTTTTTAAAATTGTTTATATTAATTAATATTAATTAAAATTGTTCATATTAATTAAAATTCTGAATAATTTTTCTTAGGAGGACAAAAGAAACTACAGGCAAAATATTTACCAAGTTGAAATCCACAACGTTGATCAACGAAAAAAAATTGTTTACTTAGTAAATTAATTAAAAATACGCAGCAATATTGTCACAAAAATATTTAGAAAAAAAAGATTGATGTTTATATTTTGATAATAATTACTTTACAATTAAACATTAAATTAAAAATAATACTTGAATGTATTAAATATAGTTTTTTCGTTGATAAACGTTGTGGACTTCAACTTCGTAAATATTTTTATAATTAGTTTTTATTTCCTAATTTTTAAAATAATTTTTCTTCTCAAATATTTTCCATTTTAAAATTAATATTTATTGAAAATCATTGAATTTTTGCAAAGAATTTTATCAAAAGCTTTGAGAATAATTGAATTCCTTTGAAGAATTTTATTAAAATTTTTGAAAATCCTAATTTTCAAATCCTAATTTTCTTCTAATGAAGAATTTCTTTGAATTTTTTTTTTAAGTAATAGATATTCTTTAATAATTTTAATAGAAAATTTTGAAAGTAATTAAGTTTTATGAGCAATTTCTTTCAAGTTTTTAAAATAATCGTATTTCTTAAAAAATTGAAATTAAACATATTTTAATTATTAAATTAAAAATCCAAATTGAATTTTTTTTTGAAGAATTTCTTTAAATTTAAAAAAATTTTTGAAAATCCTAATATTTTCTTATGAAGAATTTCTTTGAATTTTTTTTTCAAATAATAGAGATTCTTTAATAATTTTAATAGAAAATTTTGAAAGTAATTGAATGTTATGAACAATTTCTTTCAAAAATTTTAAAATAATTTTTCTACTCTTATTAACATTTAATTATTGAATTTTGTGAATATTTTTAGAAAAATTTTTAATTCTTCACAGAATTTTATTACAATTTTCAAAAATAATTTAATTCATTCAATGAATTTTATTAAAATATATATAAAATAATTTAATTCTTTCAAACAATGGAAACTATTAAAGGTTTTGCAAATAATTGAATTTTTTCGACAAATATTATTAAAAATTTTTTTTAAATGAATTCTTTCATGAAATATTATTAAAATTAAATTAAAAAAAAATAAATGAATTTTTGCAAAGAATTTTACTATTTATAAAGATAATTTAATTATTTCGAAGGATTTATTAAAATTATAGAAAATAATTGAATTCTTTTATTGAATTTTTATTAAAAATAATTGAATTTTTGTAAAAAAATTTTACTATTAAGAATAATTGAATTTTTCAGAAGAATGTTGAAAATAATTGAATTCTCGGAAAGAATTATTTTCAAATTTTTGAAAATTTAAACAATAATAATTAATTATGTACTTAATAAGTGAATGTTTAAAATTTTGATTATGAAATAATTCAAAAATTTATATTTAAAAATAAAAAACTTTCTAATTTGGAGAATAATAATTCTTTATAAAATTTAATTAATTACTTTCAAAATTTTCAATAAAATTTCGTAAAAAAAATCCATTAATTATTCATTTTCAAAATATTGAAATTATATCTTTAAAACAATTCAATTATTTATAAAAATTGTAAATGCAACTCATAATATTCAATTTTTTTTTTAAATTTTTAATTTCAATTATTCATTAAATAATTTATAAATAATAATTTCTTGATAGTTTTTTTAAGAAGTAAATTATTTAAAATAAATTATTGTAGAAAATTGAAAAAAATTAAGGTTTTTTATAAAAATTCTTGGTAATTTCAAATGTTTTAAGGCAAACAAAAAAAGAATCACAATAAAATAAATTCAGAGAAATTTGAAATTTTTTAGAAAAATTTAATTTAATTTAAAAATAATTTAATTCTTTTGAGAAATTGTATAATTAAAAATTTTTTTGAAAACAGTTAATTTTCTGTGAAGAATTTAATTAAATTCTGACGAATTAGTTTCTTATTTATAAAAATAATTGAATTCTTGAGAAGAATTTTGCTAAAATTCTTAAAAATATGAAATTTAATTGTTTCGAAGGATTTTATTAAAAAATAATTTTTTATTAAAAATAGTAAATCATATTTAGTGGATTTTTTTTAAATTTTGAATTTAAAATTATTCAACAATTTTTATGCTTAAAATTTTTACGTTTCTTGTTGTTCATATAAGTAGAGGATAAATTATAATTAAAAACTGGTTATTTTTATCAGAATTTTTACTTTTTTTTCATCAATTTTTGTACATTCTCATCACATTGGAAGGTATTAATTTTTCTTTATTATTAAAATGAAGAATTTAGAGAAAATTTTGTTCAAACATAAAAAATATTTTCGTCGATTCTTATTTTGAATTTAAAAAATAATTGTACTTTACAGATTACAATAATTAAAAAGCATATTCAATATCACCTCTGTTTATGTCTTTAAATGATCGCAATAAATTATCTCCTTCTCTACAGCCTCCTCGACAATTACAAGCATTACGATCACAAAATTTTTCGCCACAATGTGTTCCGTTTCTTGGTTTGCCATCATTACAAACGTAAATTTCGCACAACAGACGAAATTCACTAATTTTATTTAATGGTTTATTGACAATGAAATTCCTTCCGCCGAATTCACTGCATTCTTTATTAATTGATTTAAATCTCAGTTGAGTAGAAGGACAACAGATATTTTCACCCCTTATTGAATTCTGGGCGAATGAAAATGTTGATAGGATAAATAGTAGATATTTTAACATCTTTTTTTTTTGTCAATTTATTTTCGAATTGAAAAATTTTTTTTTTATGAAATTATATTTCTTGGTTAGTGGATAATGTCTTATATACCCAAAGTATTTGGAGAATAAATTATTATTTTGAATATTTATATGATATATGGAAATAAATTTATATTTTGGACAATTGATCAAACAATATTGTTTGGGAAATAGTTTGGAAACTTTGTAACTGTTTTATAATTATATCTAAATTTATCACTATAAACAACTGTAAAAATAAAGAATTTCAATTCTTCTTTATTTTTTCAGTTATAAAAAAATTTATTTTTCAACAAAATAATTAGAATAAAATTCGCAAAAAATTTAATAAAATATTTTCAAGTGAAGATTTGAAAATAAATATGAATAAAAATTTATTTTTAAATATTTTCAATTATTTCAATTATTGTCACAAATTGTAACAATATTCCTCGAAGCAATTCAATTATTTTAAGTAGAATTTTAATAAAATTCTTTGCAGAAATTCAATTATTTTCAAAAATTTTAATAAAATTCTTCAAATAGGAATTCAAATATTTTCAAAAAGTTTAATAAAATTCATGATAAAAATTTAATTATTTTCAAAAATAATAAAATTTTTCTAAAGATTTCAATTATTTTCAATACCTAATTATAAAAAAATTCATGGTGAAAATTCAATTAATTTTAAAAAATTTTAACAAAATTCTTCGAATAAGAATTCAATTATTTTCAAAAATTTTAATAAAATTCATGGTGAAAATACAATTATTTTCAAAACTAATAAAAATTTTTCTAAAGAATTCAATTATTTACAATAATTTTAATCAAATTCATGGTGAAAATTCAATTAATTTTAAAAAATTTTAACAAAATTCTTCGAATAAGAATTCAATTATTTTCAAAAATTTTAATAAAATTCATGGTGAAAATACAATTATTTTCAAAACTAATAAAAATTTTTCTAAAGAATTCAATTATTTTCAATAATTTTAATCAAATTCATGGTGAAAATTCAATTAATTTAAAAAAATTCTAACAAAATTCTTCAAATAAGAATTCAATTATTTTTTAAGATTTTAATAAAATTCATGGTAAAAATTCAATTATTTTCAAAAATAATAAAATTTTTCTAAAGAATTCAATTATTTTTAAAAATTTTAATAAAATTCATGGTAAAAATTCAATTATTTTCAAAAATAATAAAATTTTTCTAAAGAATTCAATTATTTTCAATAATTTTAATAGAATTTATGGTGTAAATTCAATTACATATTTTCATAAATAATAAAAGTTTTCTAAAGAATTCAATTTTATTTTCAAAAATTTTAATAAAATTCATGTTGAAAATTTAATTATTTTGAAAAATTTTAATAAAATTCATCTAAGAAGAATTCAATTATTTACAAAAATTTTAATAAAATTCATGGTGAAAATTCAATTATTTTCATGAATAATAAAATTCTTCGTAGGAATTCAATTATTTTCAATAGAATTTCAATACCATTTTTCGAAGGAATTTAATTGTTTTTAAGAATTTTAATAAAATTTTTACAGAAATTTAATTTAATTTTTAAAAATAAACAATTATATTTATTTTATATTAATATTATATATTTATTAAAATATGTGTGAATTGTTTCTATAATAGAAAATGGAAAATTTGCTGTTAATTTTTACATTTTTTAACGTTTTGATTGTTCATATAAAGGTAGAGGAAAAATTATATTAAAAACTGGTTTTTTTTTATAAAGAATTCTTTTTTCTCTTTTTTTTTATTAAATTAAATATATCATAAATAATTAGATAATATTTTTTATACATAATAAAAAGTATTTCCGACAATTATATTTGAATTTACACTAAAAAATGTACATTTTAGGTTATAAAGACTTAAAAAACATATTCAATATCACCTTCGTTTAATTCTTTAAATAGTTGCAGTGGACCCTTTTTTTGTCTACAACTATGACAATCATAATTACAAGACGATAGGCAACAGTATGTTCTCCTTTTTGATTTTCCATTATCACATACGTCAATGGTGCACAATTGACGATAATATCTCATTGTCCTTATTTTTGGATCAGTAATGAAATTTTTTCCACCAAATTCACTGCATTCTTTACTAACTGATTTAAAATGTAATCGAGTCGAGGGACAACATTTATAATTATTGAGTAATAAAGAATAATGCATACAGTTGGATAATGAAATCGTTATTGCTAGGATAAATGATAAAAAACACAATTTTAACATTTTTTTTTTTTTTTTGTAAATTGTCGGTAGTTATTTTTTATAGTAAATTAAGAAAAAATTACTTTTAATGAAATCTACTTGGTTATTGTATAATTTCTTATATATACCAAATTATGAGGAAATAGAAATTCATTAATTATTTATATATTTTTTCATGATATCATTTAAATTATATTTTAGACAATTGATCAAATAATGTTATTTGAAAAATAGTTATGAAACTTTTGTAAACATTATATTTGCATGTGTAATTTGCCACTTCTGGAAAAATATAATGAAGAACAGAAAGTGACTAGAAAATTTATTTTGTTTTTCAATAAAAAATTACTATTGGAATAAAATTTATTTAAATACTCTCTAAATTTGAATTAGTGAAAATGTTTACTGGAATTAGTGACTTTATTTTTTGATTTTTAATTAGTAAGTTTTACTATAATAAACTAGTAAAAAATTACTATTTAGTAATATGTAAATAAATTAGTAAATTTTCCTAATGAAGAGTACATTTTAGTATCAAATTAGTCAAAATTACTTTTAAGTTTAATTTTTAGTAAAATTAGTAAAAATTAAACTTAAAGTGTAATTTTTAGTAAAATTAGTAAAAATTAAATTTAAAGTATAATTTTTAGTAAAATTAGTCAAAATTACTTTTAACTTTTATTTTATTTTTAACAAAATGACTATTGTGTTAGTGTTTCGAAAAAAAAAGTTTTACATAGGAAAATTTTTACAGTTTGTCAAATAAAAATTTTCGATTTTATAAAATTCGATACACGTGTCAAGTTAAAAAGAAATATAAATATTATACATTTATTCAAAGTAATTTGTACACCAATTAAGTACATAGTACACGAGTGTTCAAATAACTGACAAATACTTATAATTTTATATTTTTTGATACCTACAATACAAGATTCTTTGAATTTAGCAAAAAATTCAATTATTTAATTTATTCTTAATAATATCAAAAATTGACTCTTAATAATTAAAAATTAAAAAATAGATCATTAATAATTAATAATAAGAATAATAAGAATAATAAAAATAATAAATAAAAAAATAATGAAAAATTAAAAAAAAAAAATAAAAATAATTTTTTACAATATTGGACTTTTTTACTAGAAGATATAAAAGTTAAAATAATGAATCATAGTTATGAACATTACAGATAATTATCATTTTGTCAAATACAATATTATCTATAGTTATAGTGCTTTTAATGCGAATTCTTCTTATGTCAGAATGTAAATATATTAATGTTATACACCGCAGAAGAAGAGAAACGTGACGTAATTAATTTCGTATTGTTTCAATGAAACTGGTTATGAACTAATGATTTTAAACTGATACCAAAAGTTTCAAATTTATTCTTCCAAAAGTTTCATATTGATACTAAAAGTTTTAAAATGTTTTCAAAAGTTTCAAATTGTTACAAAAGATGTTAAATTGATTATTCCAAAGTCTCAAATTGATGACAAAAATATTATCAAATTAAAATATATACCAAAAGTTTTAAGTATTGTAACCAACTTATATTGATACCAAAAAATATCGAATTAATAAAAAAAATTCAAATTTTTTCCAAAGGTTTCAAATTGAAACCAAATAACTTTTAAATTGATATACCAAACTTTCAAATTGTTACAAAAAGTTTTAAATTAACAACGAAAATTGTAATTAAATACCGCGAAAATATTGCAAATAATTAATATCGAAAAATATTTTTGATTTTCTTTACTTCGAAAAAAAGGAATTGTTCTCTAAAAAAGAAGGACATTAAATATCAATTCAATTACAATCAGATAAGATATTTCTCAAAAGGAATAACAAATGTATCTCTTGCAATTAATTGCTCTACAGGATTTATATATTCTCAAACTTGATGATTTCAGGAAAATACAAAACAATAATATTAGTCACGATTCATTACCATTTTCTCTTTTCTGGTTTTATATATTGCAAATTGGTTAATACATTTTTATAAATGAAAAAAATTACAACAATATTCGTCCTCGACTTAATTTTTTTTTACTTTTGTAATTCAAAAAATAGATGATAATTCTAAAATTATTATTAAATAAAATTTAAATAAAATTTAATCTTCGTTTTCATATAATATTTTGGACTAATTTTGGTAAAAATTTATATAAAATAAAAATTAATTAATTAATAATGGAAAAGACGCAAAATAATAAGTCCCAGTATTCTCTCACTCCTCCTACTCCCACTCTGGCTAAAATAAAAAATAGTGGGAAGAACGTATGTATTTTCAGTTTGTCGATTAAGCATTCTCGCGAATACTTTTTTTCTCTATGAACAGTCATAGTGTTATCGTTTCCGTTCGCTTTTAAACTTTACTTGTGTCTTCATAAGATAAACGTTTTCCCAGTCGCCTTAAAAAAGTGTTTTAAAATGAAGATTTTACTTTTTTTCTTCATTGGTGCTACAATTTTTAATTTAGGTATTTTTATTTAAATTTTGAAAATATTTTTTAATTTTAATCACTTTTTTTATAAACAAATAAAATTCTTTTTCGAATTTAATAGAAATTAATTTATTAATTTTATTTATTTTTATTTTATTACCTATTTATTTATTAATTTATTTAAATTAAAATTTTTTTATTTTCATTTTTTCAAAAATAATTAATTTTATTTGATTAAAAAATACGCTACGCAGTAAAAAATATATATAATAGTTTAATTCCGCGTTGATAAATTAGTTTTTTTTTACAAGAACCTCTATTGCAAATTAGACAATTAATTATATCGTTAAAATAATACAATCATCAATGCACATAAATCGATACTAAACAACCACAATAATATAAACTTTGGATAATATTAATAATTCAATCAAAACTGCTATCTGTATCTTTTATTATTTAAAATATTAAGTATTCAAATATTTTTAAATTTTTATTATTTAAATATTTAGTATTTAAATATTTTTAAATTTTTATTATTTAAATATTTAGTATTTAAAAGAAACATCAAATTCAATCGATACGTAATAATTCAATCGATAAAACTTTTTTAGTAAATTAAATATAAATTTGAAGTTATTTATTATTTAATAATATTCAAAATATCAATTAAATATAAGATTACCACTTTTGTTATTCAATAAAATTCAAAATATCAGTCAACAAAATTATTCATTATTCATTAAAATTCAAAATATCATTTTGCAACTTTTGAGTGTATGATCGTTAAATTTAATAATATAACATTTCAGAAATTAATCTTTTTTTATAATTTGATTCCAAATCTACAATTTTAACCTCATTAAAATTGAAGGAATTATTGAGCGTAATTTGATGTTCATTAACCACAGATTCAATTTTTTTTGTTCTTATATTCCTTATATAATTCTTTTTTCCAAACTACGTTTTGATTCACCGATGTAAGTGTCAGAACAATTATTACAGTTAAATTTGTAAACGATACCAGTTTGGTTCTATTTGCTAGTTGCATCGTTTCCTAGTTTTACAACAGAAGACAAAGACTTATTAACCATTGGAATTTTACAATAAATTATAATGTTTTAAAATTTTTGCCAATTGTGAGTAATTGTCATTGATGAAACCTCTAAATCGTATATATAAACGGAGAAAAATTCTTTCTTAATGATTGCAATAGTCTTATATTAAAGTTCGGATATGTGACCATTTTTTGTAATGATTACGAAAACTATATGTAATGTATTAAGAATTTCGTTCGTCGCGCATAATAATCAGAGGTCTCACATAACCTAGAAATTTCCACAAACTTTGAATTCTTAATAAAAAAAAATTATTTTCTTAAATTTAATTTTATACAAAATAATAAATAAATTTATTAATTTTAATAAAAGAGGCGATCCATAAACTACGTTGCAATTTAGGAGAAGGGGGTCTAAAAATTTATAAATGGTAACCAGGGGTGGGAAGGTGTCTAAAAAGTAAGAAAAGAAAAATTAGTAACGTAGTTTATGGACGTCCCCAAAAAATATTCGAGTATTTTTTTTAAGATTGTTATTAATCTTATTAATTAATGAATTTACCTTAGGTGAGTCAGTGCAATGCTACAATTGCGTGGACGACGTGGATTACATTCCAGGAATGCCAAAATGTTCTCTACCATTTTCACCACACGATAATAATAAAAGGTGTAACGAACGAGGTTACTGCATGAAAGGCATTGGCAAATGTGAGTATAAATATATTTTTCAAAATACATTAATATTTATATTTTCCGAATCTTTATTTTATCGAAATTCTTTTTATCTAATAGGAATTAATTATAATTTCTTTTAATCGAAAAAATAATTGTCAGAAACATTATCTCATTTTGAATGACCGATTGACAGTCGAACTTGTTGCTACCAGTTGCTACTTGCAACTCTTGTCAATGCGCAGATCGCGGGAAAAATAGACACTTTCTATTTTAAAAAAAAAATCTAAAAACTTTAAAAAATAAAGTAAAATAAAAAAAAAAAATTTTACTAAAAAGAATTTATACTGAAAAAAATTTATATCATATTCTGTTGCCTTTTATTTTTCTACCCCCTTTAAATATGTATTGAGGAGCCTTATAGCACAGTTGGCCCATTAGCTCAGCTGGCTAGAGCGTCGTGCTAATAACGCGAAGGTCGCGGGTTCGATCCCCCCATGGGCCAAATTTTTTTTTTAAAAACATTTTCTGCAAGTTTCTAGATAATTAAAAAAAAAATGTTTTTCTCTTACTTTTTAGTCGATGGAGAGAAAGTTGTGATGCGACAGTGTGTACCAGTTAAGGAGATTCCCAATTTTGAGACGAAACTTGAAGCGCCTAAAGAACCAGTGAAAATGGAGTTTGGTGGTTTTGAAGTGACGGCATTTGTTTGCGACACAGATCTTTGCAATACAGCGGCAATTAAAAATCCACATATTTCTCTTGCAATTTTAATTTTCTCGATTATTCTTCTTTTATAAATAAAATAAATAACTGTTATTTCGAAAAAAATAACATTTTTTTTATTAGATGTACGTGATTCACATGAAGAAAGGTACCGCGTTGACATAACCTAAAAATCTTTATTGTGGACCTTGTCGACTCAACATTAATGACGAACGTAACCTATAAATATTTTCTTTATCTTTCTTCACAACGCGTTAATTATAAGCCGAAGAACTTAAAAAAATTTTAGAAAATTAATATCTACTTTTTTTCTCTTTTGAAATAATTTTAAAATGTTGAAGAAAATTGCAAGTTTTTGATAAATCTTACGAATGTTCAAAAAGTATTAAAATTAAATATAAAAAGTATTAAATAATTACTAAAAGTATTAAAAATTTAAATTGTACTAAAAAAATAATTATAGTAACTAATTTAAAAATAAAAAGTATACAAACACATCTTTTATTTACAGAATGCTTTGACTGTATTTTTATACCTATTCTTTCCTTCTGAAAAAAATTTTAGTATTTTAGTATTTAATTTATATTTTTTCTTTATGCGGAGTGTAAAAGCCGGAGTGGGGACAATGAATGCGAGAGAGAAGTTCCAAACTCTCTTTGTCACTCTCATTGCTCCCACTTCAAAGAGGCGGAGCTTAAGCGTCAGAGTGGGGCAACGAGAGCGAAAGAGAAGTCGGTTTCTTTCCTTCTCGCTCTCACTGTCCCCCCTCCAAAACTTAAGTTCCGTTTTCTTAAGGTGTCTTTCACACCGGTTAAATGTGAAATTTAACAAATTCTTTCACTAATCGGCTGCTTCTTTCTTTATATTTCTAAATACTTTGAGTCCCCCATTTTTTCATAGTTTTATTTTATTTTCAATTCTAAATACTTTTTTTTCCTTTTCAGTTTTTTTCTATTGTAAAAATTCTTAATCATAACAACTCTCGCAAATAAAATATTTGTTTCATTAATATTTAAAAATTTTTATTTTTAAATTTTTAAATTAATAGTAAAAAGTAAAAATAATTTAAATTTTATCTATCATAAAAACTCTCGCAAAATAGAAATTTTCTTCATTAAAATGTTCTTAAATTAATAAATTAAATTAGTTTAAACTTATACGTTTTAATATATAGTTAATAATTTTTAATTAAATTATTAATTTGAATTAATGTTTCAGTGTATACAATGAAGAATTTAAAAAAAAAATTTATTTCAATTTTATAATTAATAATCAAATTTTTATTAATTTTAATCGATTTCTCCTCCAAATTAACTTTATTTTTCAATTAAAAAAATGCCAAAAAAAATTATTTTAATTATATATTACCAAGTGGGTATAGTTTCTTCAACTTTTAATTATTTCAATTATTCTTTTCGTTGAAATTTTGAAAATAATTACTAAAACTAATATTATAAGTACCCTTAATGTTAAAATTATGATAATACTTTTTCAACTAATGAGAAAGTTTAAAAAATTAAAAAAGAATTTTAAAAAACCTAAAAAAAAATTTTTTAAAACAGAAAAAAACCCAGTGAAGTAAAACTTGTATCTCGAAATTAATTTCAATGAGAAAAAAAAATGAAAAACGGGGGAAAAAATAGAAAAAAAATTGTCAGTCCCATCGGATTAGGATTAGAACGACACTGGGGCCCAGGAACTTTTCGATTACAAGAAACCACAATAATTTATTATAATACACCTGCTGTACACCGGAAATTTCCCAAAAAGGCAGTGCAAGGCCTCCTTGTACTTATTTCCTTAATAATTCAATTAGCAATAATAATTAATTATAATAAATCTAATAATAATAATAATAATAATTTGTAATTTAATTAAAAAGTAAATAAAATAAAAATTAGTCGAAGAATAATGTTAATCTTTTTTTTAAATCGACAAATTTTTTTTTTTTTTTTTTTTTGCTATAAAAAACAAAATTCGTCGACTAATTTCTATTCTCTCTCTTTCGATGAATAAACAAAATTCGGTTTCTCCTTTGATTTCAGTTTCAGATAAGTTTCCTTTTATTGTTTTATTTATTTATTTATTTTTTTTTATTAAGTTTTATATTTCGTTTTTGACAAAAAAAAACGAAGAATAAAGAAGATAGAGAGAAGATGAAGAAGGGGGAGGGTGGAGGGCAGGGGAAAAAAGAGACCAGATAGAGAGTAAATGGCGATAGCAAGGGCAGGGACCGTTTTTTTTTCTTTTTCACTTTCTCACTATATATATATAATAATAATAATAATAATTTTATTACAAATAAAAATTAAAAAAAATGGACGCAGGAGCTAGGAACATTCTTTTTTCCAAATATAAAATTATCAAAAAAAATCTCTCGTACAAAAAAAAAGAGGAAGAAACCAAAAATTTTTAATAAAAAAAACACGAATATTTTTCATTCGTTCCTTATTTAGTGTTATAATAAAAAAAATAAAAATTACAGATTATTTCCCTAAATATCAAATCACAATATAGAAGAAATATTTTCGGAGAGTAAAAAAAACGAAAGAGTTTCAAAAAAAAAAAAAAATGGGTTGAAAAAAAAATTGAAAAAAATTCGAGTTTTAAAAAAGAAAAGATTGCGAAAAATAAAAATTCGCAGCGCCTTCTTTTTCTTTTAAATTCTATATTGTTTTTGTAATAATTACAAGATAGGATTTTAATTTCTACATAGTTTTAAAAAATTTTTTTTTTGTTTCTTTCGTTTTTTTTCTAAACGTACGAAGCAGCCCCTTGCCCTGCAATTCGAGCAAACAAACTGTACAAGGATTATTTTATTTATCAATAATACACACACGACTTCGCTCTTATTATTCTCTTGGCATAGACGCAAAAAAAAAAAAAAAAAAAAAAGAAGAAGAAGAAGAAGACATACTTTTCACTTTCTTGTCAATTTTTGTCATATACAATAATATTTTACACGAAATATTTCACTCTCGACTCTCCGTTTTGTAAAATTTTCCCAAAAAAAAGGCACAAAAAAAGGTACAAAAAAGGCACAAAAAAATGTTTATCAAAAAAAAAAAACTGCATTTTGCAACGGAATAAAAGGAAAATTTCCTTCTTGGAAAAAAACTATTTTATCAAAAATACGAGGTTTGAAAAAAAATTAACAGTTTGCAAATAAAGAAAATAAAAATTTTTGTCTTGAAAATTAATTTTCATTCGAGAAAAATTACCATTCTTGGCAGAAACGAAAATTATACGAAGAAAATTGAAATAATTGTCACTGGGGTTTTATGAATTAACAACAAAAAAAAAAACTTTGTTCGGAGCGAAAAAATAGAAAGTAAATTTCGAAAAAAAGGGTAAAATTTCGATATTCAAGAAGAAAAAATCGAAAAAGTCCAAAATTTCGATATTTAAAGGGGAAAAAATCGAAAAAGTGTAAATTTTCGATATTTTGGAAGAAAAAAATAGAAAAAGTGTATATTTCCGATGTTTAATGAGAAAAAAAATAGAAAAATTGCAAATTTTCAACATTTTAAAGAAAAAAAAGAAAAAGTGTAAGTTTTCCATATTTAAAGGGAAAAAAAATCGAAAAAGTGTAAATTTTAGATATTTATTGAGAAAAAAAATTGAAAAACTGCAAATTTTCAATATTTAAAGGGGAAAAAATCGAAAAAATGTAAATTTTCGTTATTTAATGAGAAAAAAATCGAAAAATTGCAAATTTTCCCTATTTTCGATTTTTTTCTCTTTAAATAACGAAAATTGCAAATTTTCGTTATTTAAAGAGAAAAAAAATCGAAAAATTCAATTTTCAATATCAAAAAACCAAAAAAAAAAAATGGAAGAACTGTAAATATTTGCGAAATTAAAAATAATAAACGGAGAGAGCGAGAGAAGAAAAAAGAAGACAGAAAGAGAGAATTGGAAGAGAAAAAGAGAAATAGTAATGAAGAAATTTAAAAAACAAAAAGAAAAACAAAAAAATGTCGAGAGAAAGAAAACTATCGGAGATATTTCAGCCCCTGCGCCTTTTTTTTTTTAATTTAACGCTGTGGGAAATATTCGAGCGCCATTTAAATTCGCAAAATTTCTCAGTTTCCTCTATCCTACGCCACTTTACATTTTGTTTTTTGTTTTCCTTTTTTCATTACTATCAATATGTTAAAATACAAAGGTCACTCATACAAAATATCGTGTTTCGCAACTCACTTTCATACATACAATTTTTCAATCATCATATTTTCGTTAAATTTTTTTTTTGTTTGCTTCTTTTTTTTTAAAATAAAATTGTCCAAAAAATTAAACGTGGATTTTTTTTTCGTTTGCAAAAAAAATTCCATTTCTCGGGTTGTTTTTTTTATTTCATTTTTCAAAAAAAAAATGAAAAATAATTATAAAAAACGTGGGGGAGGAAGGGCGGGGGGGGGAAGAAAAGGGACTTGATGGTTAGTTTATTTTGTTCTCCTAGTGTGTAAGTACGCTCACGCTAAGGTCAATGGTATGTACAGTAGGTGAGGTATGCTTTTTTTTTGCAAATTTTTTTTTCATTTTTTTTTTTTTGTTTTTTTTTCTCTTCTCTTCGTGGATAATTCAAGGACACGGGTGATAGATGAGATTTTGACGCACGTTTCCTATCGATTCATCATCTCCTTGCTATTCGTCCTCGTCCTCGAAGTCATCATCGCTTTCCTTTTTCGCTAATATCGGCGCGCCCGCGATCGGTCCGCCGTCCTTCATTTTCTTTTTGTACGCCGTCATTTCCTGGAGAAATTTTTTTTTATTAGTTTTTTTGTTGATATTTTCAGTTTTTAATTATAAAACATAAAGAAATGGATCACTCCGAGTCTTCGATCGATTTCTTTATGTTTTATAATAATTGAAGATGACTGAGTGATAAAATCATTATTAATTAATATTATTTATTATTTTCAAAAGTTTTAAGGAAATTCTTAGTAGGAATTCTATTATTTTTAAAAATTTTAATAAAATTCTTCTCAAAAACTCAACTATTTTCAAAAATTTCAATAAAATTTTTCTAAGGAATTTACTTACTTTCAAAACTTTTAATAAAAATTATGGTGAAAATTCAATTATTTTCATAAATAATAAAATTCTTCTCAGAAATTCAATTATTTTCAAAATTTTTACTAAAACTTTACGAAACAATTCAAATATTTTGAAAAACTTTAATGAAATTCTTCTTAGAAATTCAATTGTATTTTCAAAAATTTCAATAAAATTCTTTTAAAGAATTCAATTATTTTCATTAATAATGAAAATCTTCTTAGAAATTCAATTATTTTTGTAATTTTAATAAAAATTCTTTGCAGAAATTCAGTTATTTTCAAAAGTTTTAGTAAAATTCTCCTAATAAGAATTCAATTATTTTCAAAAATTTAAATAAAATTCATGATGAAAAGTCAATTATTTTCATAAATAGTAAAATTCTTTAAAGAAATTCAATTATTTTCAAAAATTTTAAAAAAATTCTTGGTGAATATTCAATTATTTTCATAAATAAAAAAAATTCTTCTTAGATATTCAATTATTTTCAAAATTTTTAATAAAAATTCTTTGCAGAAATTCAGTTATTTAAAAAAAATTAAATCAAATTCCTCTAAAGAATTCAATTATTTTCATAAATAGTAAAATTCTTTAAAGAAATTCAATTATTTTAAAAAATTTTAATAAAATTCTTAGTGAATATTCAATTATTTTCATAAATAAAAAAAATTCTTCTTAGATATTCAATTATTTTCAAAATTTTGAATAAAATTTTTAGAAACAATTTAAATATTTTAAAAAACTTTAATAAAATTCTTCTCAGAAATTCAATTATATTTTCAAAAATTTCAATAAAACTCTTTGCAAAAATTCAATTATTTAAAAAAAAAAATTAAATCAAATTCCTCTAAAGAATTCAATTATTTTCATAAATAATGAAATTCTTCTTAGAAATTCAATTATTTTCAAAAATTTAAATAAAATTCTTTGTGAAAATTCCATTATTTTCATAAATAATAATATTCTTCTCAGAAATTCAATTATTTTCAAAAATTTCAATAAAATTCAATTTTTATTAGAAAATTCAACAAGAATTCAATTATTTAAATACAAAAACAAATAATTTATTGAATAATTAAATGTTTCCTAAAATTTATTTATTTATTTATTTAATTGAATTCTAATAAAGAATTTTATGAAAAATTTTTTAAATAATTGAATTCTTTCGACGAATTTTAATAAAAAATTTTAGAACACTTACATTTTTCGAGAAATTCGATTAAAATTGTATTTAAAATAATTGAAATTCTTCGTTGAGTTTCATTATTTAAGAATATAATTGAATTACTAAAGAGAATTTTATTATTTATGAAAATAATTGAATTATTGCGAAGAAATTGATAAAAAAAATTTGTAAATAATTGTAATTCTGACAAATTTTTATTTATTTTGAAAATTATTGAATTTTGCTTTTTGCCAAGAATTTTATTAAAATTTTTGAAAATAATTGAATTTAAAAGAATAATTTTATTATTTTTAAAGATAATTGAAATTTTAAGGAGAATTTTTTTTAATTTTTTTGAAAAAAATGGAATTTTTATGAGGAATTTTATTAATTTTGAAAATAATTAAATTTCTGCAATAATCTGTAACTTCTTCAAAATTCAAATTTTTTTTTAGTGTTTTTAACTAAAAGTCTTCTATAAATCCATTATTTTTAATAAATAATTAAATATTTTTAAAAAAAATTTAATTACCTTTTTTTCTTTAAAGAAATAAAAAAAAAGAAATGTTTTCTTTGAAATAAAAGGAAAAATTCTTTTTCTTTCCATAAATAAAATCTACTTTTGTAGAAATTTTATTTTTGCTTTTCCGTGAGTGATTTTTTTTTTTACTTCTTTTTTCTAAATAATAGGAAAATAAATTGAAAATAAAATTTGAAACATACTCTTTCATATCGAGCTTTGTCCTTTTCTGCCAAAGCCTCAAATTTGGATTTTGACTCTGGAGTGGCGTCAGACCATCGTTTTCCTAATTCCTTAGCGATATCTCCCACTCCGTATTCTGGATTCAGCGATTTAACTTTACTACGCTCGTCATTGCAGAACCAGAAGAAGGCCGATCTGTGAAAACGCGGAACACAATTAATCTCTATTTTTTTCGAATAATTTTAATAAAAATGATAGTAAAAAGTCGTCTCTTAATTAAAATTAATAAAAAATTTCCACCAATTGTTTCTAATTTTGAAACTAAAATCGAAAAATTCAGCATAATTTTATAAAAAAGAAAATACTGAATAAAATAGTAAAATTAGTTTACAAACAATTTCTATTATAATATTTTTCTTTGTACACGGAGAGAAAATTATAAAAAAAAAATTTGGGGGAAAAAATGCGACAAAGCGAAATTTTGATATAAAAAATATTAAACTTTAAAAAAACTTATGCGAAATTTAAATAAAATAAAATAAAATTTTAATTTTAATAACATTTTAAGAATTTTAGTTAAATTTTAAATATACAAACTTTATTAAATTTCTTATTATTTCTTTCACTGTTTAGTATTTTCTATATATAAAAATTTCGGTTTGTTGTACTTTTTCCTCGAAATTGTAAAATACTTTTAAAAAATTTAACGTATATATTTTCTCTCCGTGTAACAATTTCAATTAGTAAAATTACTATTTTATTCTTAGAAAGCGAAATTAATAATTTACTATTAAACCAGTAAAATTAAAATTTAATAAAAATACTAAAAATACTAAAATACGAAAATGAAATAAAATTACTAAAAAATATGTATAAAAATTACTAAAATAGAAAAGTTAACATTATTTTTACTATATTATAAAAAAAATAATAGAATTATTAACTTAAAAATAAAATACTTACAAAGATCTCTTAGGCGCGTTGGGATCCTTAATTTGCCTGCGTTTTTTGCCTCTGCCTGTTAATTTTTCGCCTTTAGGTGGAATATAATTTTGCATTTCCATGTCGTATCTCTTCTTGTCTTTTTCTGCCATCTCATGGAAACGCTTCTTTTCCTTATCGGACATTGTCTGCAATGAGAAAAATCCAATTGAACGGTGAATTAAATTACTCAATATTTAATATAAAAATTATTTGCTAAAAATTATTTTTTTGTTTTTTATTTATATATATAAAACAATATGTTTATTTACATATAAATTTTAAATAAATTCAGCACAATTTTTTTTTTAATTCTTACACGCATAATATGAATGAACATTTTTTTCTTTTATTTATTTTGATAATTTTGTGTTTTTATAATAATGATAAAATAGTATTTTTACATAATATCTTCATCGTATTTTTATTGTTTCATTTTATTTGCATTTCTTTTTTATTTATATTTTATTATGTTTACTTTTATTATTATCCTTTATATTTATTTTATTTCTTATTTTATTGGATTATTTTTTTTTATTTCATTTTCTATTTTACTATTTTTTTTTTTTGTTATTGTCTTTTTATTATCATAAGTTTTTCAGTTTTTATTCGAACATAAACGGGTTTCAAATAAAATTAAATTTTACTGCTTCATTATTATTTTATTTTTATTTTTTAATTTTAATTTTATTTTTATTCCTTTGATTTTTTAATTTTGCTATTTTATCATTTTTCTCATTTTAATTTTGCTATTTTATCATTTTTCTCATTTTAATTTTGCTATTTTATCATTTTTCTTATTTTAATTTTTAGTTTCACTGTATTCTTACTTTTCTATTATTTTATTATTTTAATTTTACTATTTCGTTTATTTCTCATTAGGTAAAATATTTTTTTTACTATTTTTTTATTTTAATTTTTTAATTTTACTATTTTATTGTTTTTTTTTATTATATTAGTTTTTTATTTTTTACCACTTTATTATTTTTTTTTAATTTTACAATTCTATTCTTTTAATATCTATCTTATTTTTATTTCTCTTTTTATTGCCTCAGTTTTATTTCTTCTATTTCTTTTATTTTTATTATTTTATTACTTTAGTTTCATTCTTCACTTTGTTATTTATTTTACATTTGAATATATTCTTTTGGCGTTGTAACGTTTTTTTAAAAAAAAATTCTTCATTCCTTACGACTATTCGACAAGGCGCCATTTATTTTAATTTAAATTATTGTTTTGTAATAAATTAACTGATAAATAATAAATAAAACGATAAATAAATAAACAAAAAATCAAAGATTATTTTGTAATAACTTAACCAATAAATAATAAAGAAAATAATAAATTAATAAACAAAAAGCAAAAATTATTATTATTTCTTAATAAATTAACTAATAAATAAAGTAATAAATTAATAAACAAAACGCAAAAACAATTATTATTATTATTGTTTATTTTTAAATATAATTATAAATGTTTATAAAGAGTTTACATTAAAAACATTTATTTATACAAATGATTATAATTATTTATTAAAAAAAAATTTATACAAATAAATATTTCCATGCAGATAAATAACTAAGTAAAGTATAAAGCGAAGTGAAAAAGAAAAATAATAATTATTATTATTATTATTATTATTATTTATTATTAAGCACAAAAAAGTTTAAATATCGCTTATTTACGAGAGGTTGGAAATTTTCAAGCGTTTCTTTTTTAAAATATCCATTTAATGCCTATAATCTTTTAGAATTTTCAGATAAATCAAAACCAGTTTAACCGGCACATTAAACTGCACCGAAACAGTGAGAGAGTTCAACCTTTCTGCGTATTCTTTTATAATCATCCTTTTTTTTTTTCTTTTACCCTCACGTGAAAGTTTTCTTTGAAAAAAAAACCTTCAATAATTTTTTGTAAATAAAATACATTTATTACAATCTTCTCAATTTTAATTATTATTTCTAAAAAATTACAAATCTAATTTTAGAAAAAATTCAATTATTTATTTTCTTTGCAATTTTTTACTAAAATTATTCACAAAAATTCAAGTATTTTTTGTGATTATCAACTAGAATTAATCAAAAATTCAATTATTTTTTACAATATTCTTAACTAAAATATTCAAACATTCAATTCTTTTTAAAATTTTTAAGTAAAATTATTATTGAAAAATTCAAATATTTTTTATAATTTTTGTTAAAATTATTGAAAAATTCAATTATCTTTTAAAATTTTTTTACAATTTATTCAAAAATTCAATTATTTTTTTATAATTGTTACTCAAATTACTTAAAAATTCAAGTATTTTATATTTTTTTTGACTAAAATTATTCAAAATTTCAATTATTTTATACAATTTTTAACTCAAAAATTCAATTTTTTTATAATTATTACTCAAATTCCTTAAAAATTCAAGTATTTTCCAAAATTTTTACTAAAATATTTCAGAAAAAATTTTTTTATAATTTTTAACAAAATTATTCCAAAATTTAATTATTTTATTTTAACTAAAATCATTCAAAAATTCTATTTTTTTTATGTTTACTCAAGTTACTTAACAATTTAAGTATTTTTTTAAAATAAATTTTAACTAAAATATTTCAAAAATTTATATTTTTTATAATTATTAACAAAATTATTCAATTATTTTATTATTTTTTATAATTTTTAACTTAAATTATTCAAAAATACAATTATTTTTTATAATTTTTACCAAAATATTATTCAATATTGCAAATATTTCATACAATTTTAGACTAAAATTATTCAAAAATTTAATTATTTTTTATAATTTTTGCCAAAATATTATTCAAAATTGCAAATATATTATACAATTTTTGACTATAATTATTTAAAAATTCAATTATTTTTTATAATTTTTACTTAAATTACTTAAAAATTCAAGTATTTTTTATAAAGTTTAACTAAAGTATTTCAAAAAATAAATTTTTTTATAATTTTTAACAAAATTATTTACAAATTTTAATATTTTTTACAATTTTTAACTAAAGTTATTCAAAAATTTAATTATTTTTCATCATTTTGACTAAAAGTAGTCAAAATTTCAACTATTTTATACAGTTTTTAACTTAAAAATTTAAGTGCTTTTCATAATTTTTACTGAAATATTAAAAAAAAAAAATTTGTTATAATTTATAACAAAATCATTCAAAAATTCAATTATTTTATATAAATTTTAACTAAAATTATGCAAAAATTCTTTTTTTTTATGTTTATTTACATTACTTAATAATTTAAGTATTTTTTTTATAAATTTTAATTAAAATATTTCAAAATTTAAAATTCTTTTTATCATTTTTGAACAAAATTATTCAAAAATTCAATTATTTTATATAAATTTTAACTAAAATTATTCAAAAATACTATTTTTTTATGTTTTCTCAAATTATTTAATAATTTAAGTATTTTTTTACAAAATTTAACTAAAGTATTTCAAAAATTTAAATTGTTTATAATTTTTAACAAAATTATTCAAATATTTTATTATTTTTTACAATTTTTAACTCAAATTATTCAAAAGTTTAATTATTTTTCATAATTTTTACTCGAATTACTTAAAAATTCAAGTATTGTTTATAATTTTTATTAAAATATTATTTAAAATTGCAATTATTTTATACAATTATTAACTAAAATTATTCAAAAATTCAATTATTTTTTATAATTTTTACTTAAATTACTTAAAAATTCAATTTTATTGTGATTTCTGTAAAAGAATTATTTTTTATAATTTTTTTTTACAATTATTCGAAAATTCAATTATGTTTTATAACTTTTAACTAAAATTATTCCAAAATTCAATTATTTTTTATTATATTCATTACAATTTATTCAAAAATAATAAAGAAATAAAATTTTAAACAAATAAAACTTAATTAAAAATTAAAATTAAAAATAAATAAATAAGATTGTAAATAAAAGAAATTTTAAACTTTAAACTTTTAATATTTTTTTCCAAATTTTTTTTACTCTTTTTTTACTATAAATGTGCAAGGAAGAATTGTAATATTACAAAAGAGAAGGAAATTTTTCTTTGCTCCTAATTTCTATTGCAAAAAGCCAAATTGACATTTATGAAGAACCACTCTTTCCCTTGATTCAACACACTAGATTCTATTCAATTCCCCCTGGGAATTGGAATTTAGAGAAAAATTTGCAAAGTGGCGTCGAAAGTCTGAAACTTTGTAGAATCACAACAGACGAAACTATAAAAAGAAAAAGTGCGCGCGAGAGAGAGAGAGAGAGAGAGAGAATTTTTGTTCGCAAAAGAGTGACAACAAAACCTTTATAGAGTAAAGGGAGAGAGAAAAGGCAAAATGCGTAGGTATGAGTGAAAAATACACGGGGAATGGTCGATATAGAAGCCACGACGGCGCCAGCTGAACGAATCAAATTTGATTTCATTTTCCTTTAGAAAAATAAAAGAGGAACGAAAATTTATACTTTTCTTTCAAAGAAATTATTGAAAGTGTATCTAGAAGAATTTATTTATGTCGACTTGAGAGAAAAAGGAGGGAAATAAAGATTAAAGGTTGGAGTATTTTTTCTATTTTTTTTTTTTTTTTTTTAATTCGTCATACATAACCTTAACTCAGTTTAGAATCGATGGAAAATCCACGGCGACGCTTTTCTGCGCGGCTCGATTTCGTTATAAAGTTTTCCCGGGAGCCAAGTAATTTCAGAATTTAAGGGTTTTAATTTCAAAAAGGAGGTCAGTCTTGAGTTAAAATCGCACTTTAGTTAAACGAGACTTTATTTCCGCTCTTAGTTGTAATTATCAAACTGACGAAAATAAAAAAGAAGCTAATATGAAAAAAAAGAGTTTAATAATTTTAAAATTACCCTTCATTTTTTAAATACTTTTTACCCTGCTGCAGAAAATAATAAAAGCTTAATGTTTTTAAAAACATAAAAGCTCAATTTTTTTTAATACATATAAAAGTTAAATGTCTTTAAATATATAAAAACTCAATGCCTTTAAAAAATATATAAAAACTGAATGCCCTTAAATAAATAAATAAATAAATAATTAAATAGATAGAAGCAAAAATAATAAGAGAAAAAGAAACCCTACAAACGATACTATTTTTCCTATCGTAATTCTTAAAATATTTTCAATTTATTTAAA